CCAGCGAGCGAGGAGGACAGCGTTGTATAAAAGGGGAGACTAAAAGGAGGAATGAATGAACAAACAAGTGAATAACAGACGGGATGTGAGTAAGTGCTTCCAGAAAAATCAGTCTCTTTGGTTGCCACGGCAACGAGAGGTGCAAGTTGGCTCTGCTCCCTATGTAACCAATTATGTGTGTGTGTGTGTGTCTCTCTCTCTCTGTGTGTGTGTCTACTATCAAGGACTATTGATATGCAAAAGAGGAAGCAGGTCCACGTGAGCCTGTGTGAAAATGTTTGCAGGGCATTTGATTTGAACATGATGYGTTTGCATCTGTTCTTTGTGACAAGCTGTCTCCTGTCAGCCCCACGAGGAGCAGTTGTTTCTCCTGTTTGATTGCACACACAAAGCCAACAAACCTCGGCGTTTCTGCACCGTCGTGTTTGCTGACTGTTTACAAAAAGCTGCACAAAGGGCTCGAGAGCACGATCACAAGTGGCTCCCTGGCAGGAGCTGCAATCCACTGCGCCCTGTTTACTCCAAATGACTCCTTACGCTCCTGTGTTCTTGCATTTTTTTTTATATTTGCTACACCTGCACTGATTTAGACGCAAAACTAACGGTTTATTATAAATACAACAACATTACCATCTCAAGTCCTTCTGCACGTTTGGCTACGAATCAGTTTTTGATCATGTTTTGTGCTTTTGTTCCGTGGCGTTCTGTTGATGTTTAATTTATGCGTCACAGTTTGACTTTTATACCAATTTACAAGCAGATGCTGATTTATTATGGATAAAACAATTTAATTCTAACTGTTGGGAAGTTATAAAATGTTTAATTTAAAGCTGAAACACTGTGGCAAAGCTCTTTTAAACATTTAGCAACTTTTAACATWAAGTTTGCATATTTACTGAATTACACTGCAGCTAATTTGTATATTTTCCCATTTACCTCCGCCAAGGGTGAGGTAATGTTTTCGGTCGCGTATGTCTGTCTGTCCGTCTGTCATTCTGTCTGTGGACAAAATTACTCAAAAACTTGTGGAGTGATTGTCATGACATTTTTACCACATGTGGTTACTGGCTCAACACACCTTTAAATTTTGGTGATGTTCTGGATCACGATGCGGATACAGGAATTTTTTTCTTTTAACACTCTGAGACCGGCAAAGCTGTGATGCTTTCACAGGGCGTGGGTTTCAAAGTTTCCAGCAGGTGGCACTGTAGTATTGGTGTGCCCCTTTGTAACTCTATTACAGGATGGGGGAAATTGGTCTTGGCGGAGATTTGCACTCTCCAAGTGCTTCTAGTTTTTTGAATTAATTTCCAAATATGCTTTCGTTTGGTTTATCAGTAGTTTTTTTATAAGCTTTTATGGGCGTTTTGTTTTAGGATTGACTTACTTCCTTCTTTTTGTCAACCTTTGTTTGTAATATTTTTGTTGTTAACTTTTAAGTCCTGTACCCATATAGAGGCAAATTTAAACTAAGTATTTGTAACATTTCTTTGAATTTGAGAGCCACACATTAAGCTTTTTACCTTGATAATTGATTTAGCTATTTTTTTATTAAGGAATAGAAGAGCAGAGGGATTAATTATAAACAGCAATATGCACCCTCACAAATGTTTTATCTAGACAACTGTCATCCTAGGATGTGTGCCATTACTTTTAGTTGTGTTTCGTGTTAACATGGCGATGTAAATTGCACAAAACTATTTTCAAAAAGCCTCATAGGAATACACTGAGCTCAGCTCTCAGTTGAAAAAAAAAACTGTCACACTCTAGGTGGAGAGTTCTCTGGCTTAAAGCTATTTCTTAACAAACAACTTCTTCACACAGCCACTTTTTTTTTTTATCATACGCAGACAAAACATAGGCAATACTGTCTTCTTTCAGACAATATTTCTGGTATTGCTGTAGGACAAATAGTTTTCTCTCAGATGACAGAGTGGTGCCAGTTCTCATCCTRTTCTACTCCATGTTAAATTGTTCTCGTGCTCCGGTTCAAAAGCAAAACAAAGAGTTTTTTGTAATCTTAAAAAAAAAGTTCTATAGATTAAAAGTTCTTCTAGTTTCTGAACATTTTTATTTGGACTTTGGCTGCTTTTACCATACATTTTATTGTGTGGTGGCTCACGTGGTAGAGCTGATGCCTCTCAGTAAGAAGGTCGCTGGTTCAAATCCTGGCCCATTCTGGGTAGAGTTTGTGTGTTCTGTTCAGGCATGCGCAGGTTCTCTCCGGGTACTCCGGCTTCCTCTCACAGACCAAAAGCATGACTGYTRGGTTAAWTGATAACTCTAAATTGTCCCTCAGTGTGAGAGAGTGAATGGTTGTTTGTCTCGTTTGTCTCTATGTGTGGCCCTGTGATGGACTTGCAACCTGTCCAGGGTGTACCCCGCCCCTCGCACTGTAACGGCTGGATATGAGCACCAGTGACCCTGAAAAGAATATGTGGATATGGATGATGGATGGATTTTATTGTGTGTTTTTGTCAAATCAATACCAGGTAAAATTTGTTTTGTTGAGAAAAGGAGGTGAAATTGAAATTTGTGACCAAAACTTTAAGAAATAAAGTGCTCACTGTCATAATATATAAAACTGTGTTGTTCTAGCACTCCATAACCACTTTCTTTATTATCATGATTCTTTTCTTTATCAGAAATATAATTTACCAAAGTTGGATGCATATCCAAGACCATTCAATAACAAACAAACGAACGAACGAACGAACGAACGAACGAACGAACGAACGAACGAACGAACAAATAAAACACAGATTGACATCATTTATTTGCTCTTTCATGAATATTCATAGGGTCTGTATTGCAAAAGAGCTCAGTGAAGTTGAAATTGCTTTATGGAAAATGATCTGATAGATAAATAAATAAAGCTGAAACAAAACCTTAGCAGCACAATTTTTAACCATTTAGCACCAAAAGGGCCCTTCTTACTATTATACCATGTCGTGACTTGGGCTGCTGATTTACAACCAAATCGAACTCACACAGCTCTCCTCTCCTCGTGCGCTGCTGTGACACACAGCCTTGTACACACACGGCTTTGTCGGGCCCTTCTTTGTGAACTTGTACCTTTTCAGGGAGTCATTCTTTCACTCTGTGGGACCACCAGAGAGTTAGAGAGGCTGCCAAGTCAGACTCTGGCACTAATTGGCTACACTATTAGACGCCCACAGAGCCACACTTTGACTACAGAAATGAGCTCATCAGTGTGAGGATGGAGATCGGGCACAGAGCCTGAGAGAATGCATGGGACAGGGGGAAAAGCTGGGCGGGGGGGGAGAGGTGGGGGGTTTCTAATTAGTGGTCTTCTAACATGAGAAACCTACAGGAGCACTTCAAAATCCTCAACCCTCTACAACTCATTCTTACACACACACAAATAAATAAATAAATAAATAAATAAATAAAACTTTGACCAGTCTACTTAGTAGGTTGTTTGTGTCAGGGGTTTGAGGGAAGAGGGTGGTCTTTTGTTTGATGCACTTGAGCTGCTCTGATTGGCAGCAGGGACAGGAAGTGAGGGCGTGGAGGCTTAAAGCGGAAAAGAGCTTTTCTCTCTGCACTGCCTGAGATTAACATGCTCCTCCACCTCTCCAAATACCTCTCGTCCTCCCCTGTGCCTCCACCCGGCTCTCTGCGTCTTCCTGTCCACTTACATCCATTTGCACGTGAGCGGCGTTTCAACTTATTTTCAGGAAGTTTGAGCTGGCTTTTTGTCACCCCTGCTTTATGTGTTTTTCATTTCCTGAAGAGCATAAGAGTAAGTTACTCAGGGCACTTAAGCATTGGAGGAACACTGCTGAACAGCTGCTTGCACAACTGTCCCACCAAAACGGAGTGACTGAATGTGCTTATTTGTACAAGACGGGCTTTAAACTCATCTAGATAGATTTGCTGATAATTGGAATGCCGTATCTTTATGGGTTAATTGTGGTTTTGTTATCACTAAGCCATTACTAAGCTGCTGAGAGAATGTCCTTTGGACGGATTAGAGAAAGCAGGAGATTCCTGGCAAGTCCCTTTAGCTCTGTGTTCAGAGCCAAAAATGAAGTATACAAAGAAAACAGTACCTACAGCAAGCTTGGTTATGGCCTGGGGCTGCATTTCTGCACCGGTCGCTGGATGTCATGAATCTGTGCAGGGTACCAGGGAATCTCAAGACTATCAAGGCATTCTGGAACAAATGACAGCTTGGTTTCAGTGGCTGGTTATGGGTCCTCCAACAGGATAATGATCCAAAACCCTCAACTAAAACATCCTATGATAAAAGTAAAAAAAAAAACACTGGACTATTCTGAAGCGACTTTTTAAGCCCTGGTCTAAATCCAGTTGAAGGAACTGAAACACGCAGTCTATAGATGAACACAAAGCTTAAAGACAGCTGGAACAGTTGACATGAGAGGTGGGGGAATACCTGTGGACAGGTGCAGAAGTCTCAGAAAAAGTTACAGATATCACTTGATCTAGTGATTGCTTCAGTTCATAAATAATGATTTATATTACATAATTTTTTTCTTATCAGTACTTTTGTCAGTTTTAGTTTCAGTGACCTTTGTGGGATTTTCCTTCTTCGACAAAAGAGTACAAATTTATCCATGTCTGTAATATTAAAGGCTATTTTCTGCAGGAAAAACACCTATATTTACCTGAAAGAAAAAGACTTTTGAAAGACTTCAGAAARCCTGATGAAGAAACCACTTTAAATAATTACAGGAAAGTCTGACTGCTTGGAAACAGAATCTAAAAAAACTGAGGGATGACTCAGTAGAATAATGTCACTCCAACAGCTAAATTAAAAACATGTTTGCAAAGTTTTAGATGTTTTCTCCTCAGGTTTTTGTGCTTTGTAGATTCTTCAAACTCATCTCTAGCTTTGGAAGAAAAAAAAATACACAAGGACAAAAAGGTTTGTATTTATAAAGTTGAGGATTTAAGAACCACATTATGTTTAGCTGTAAAACATTCAGGTGAGAAAAATGAACAAAATGCTGCAGTTTCTTTTGTTCACGATTTTATTTCCCAAGCCTTTTTACCTTCAATTTCCTGCCACACAATCAACTTGAAACAAAGCTACCATTTTTGCTTGTTTTCTGCCAAACAACTTAAAAACAACCAGATACATTGTAAACATAGCTTGCTCCAAACATAAGTATAATAGCACACATAGTTCCCATAAAATAACAGAAAAACAGCTAATTCACATTGTGCACGCACATACACACAATAAAACTGTTCTGGGTGTGTGAAATGTAAAAGGACATGAAGCCTAGAAAGAAAAAAAACAGGAAAAGGACTAAAAAGATTTAAGAGAAAAGAGGAAATGGAACATTTTTAAAAAGGAGTGAAGGAAAGTGACAAAGCATAATCAAATTGATAAAAGCACACTTTAAGAGCATTAGCTGAGCTGAATAATGGAATAACTTAAAATCCTGGACACACACACAGTGCTTTCACACACCAAAAATGACTCATACAAACATGCAGGATGCATCTCAAAAACTRCATAAATTAGGAATAATTTAAAATAGATTAAAAAAAAGCCATGCACTATCTGTACAAATTCAACAAAAACACATTTACATAAATTTCTAAGCAGAAATTAAACAGTTCATACTCGATATACAGCACCACCTGTTCTTATGCACGGGACTCTGCAAATTAGCAAAACGTACACACAGAAGGAAAATAAAAACTGTAAAAGGAGACGAAATTCCAGAAAAATTGTTGAAACAATACAGCGATGAGCTTTTGTTGCGCTCTGAGAACCTCAGAGTTTTACGTACATTTTACATCCATACAGTTTGTTCAAGTGTATACTCTTTGTACAAAAAGTGCAAATAGGGTTTACTGGTCTCTGACACTAAAGCTTTTAATTCATCACTAAACGTTCAACACTGCTTTTGAATATTGTCGATTTATAAATGAAGGGAACGCTGACAGAAGATGTGGATATTGTACATCTACTCTAACTGTGAAATAACTAAGAGTCTGGTAAGCCGGGGTTACTCAGAGGTGTTTACATTTATAGTGCGTGTAGAATACAAGGTCCATTTTCGTTTTACATTCATGTGATATAAATATTTGTGACTTTTGGATAAAGAAAGGCAAACAGCACACTAGAGATTGCAGCAAATGCAAGGTGGTCAATGAGTGGAGAACATGTGAGAACAGGTGGTTTTCCTGTAAAGACATCAGATGTTTTGTCAGGAAGATAACGTGGTTCTTTTAGCTGATCAGAGGAGAATCACTAGAAAGGATGTTTTAACTAATGAGAAGGGTTAAAAACTTAAATGTTGCCTGCTGCCTGAGCTTGAGTTGTTTATATGTGAATCTCAGAAGCTACAGAAGCTTTGTGAGGTCTATAGTTTATGAATCTGAATCGGTACGGTGACATGGTGGAAACATTCACTATAATATATTCTGATACTTAAATTGATCTGAGGAGAAAGGCAGGCGGTGTTTGCACCTTTAGGAGCAACAAGTCAGCTACACTGAGCCGACATGAATTCAAGTGTGACTCTAGCTATTCATCTGTGAGAAGTGAGGCTTCTTTCTGTTTCTCTTGTGAAATCTTTTAAACTTTGTTTACTTAATGATCCAAGCGCTGACTAGTTAAAAGGTCAACCTGGCAGGTGCAAGGGTTACCACTAATCCCTGTGGTTGGTTTCAGAGTCCGACAGCGGCTCTAAATTCTCCTGAACTTCGCAGCCAAGTTCATTTTCAGGCTCCGCATCGTCATCGTTGCTCTCTGCGCTGTAGTCTATGGCCTCCAGAAAGGAGGGTTCATCCTCCTCCAATACATAGGTAGTTGTGGAGCTGCTGAAAAACAAAAACACAAACAAAAAAAGGTCTTTACTTTGGGCTATGTCTAACAAGATGAACATTTAACTATTCATTCATTAAAACAAAAGAAAATATATTTACAATCAAAAAACACAAGTCATAAATAAAAATGGAAGGAAGCAGAAAGAAGAAAATCTTATATTTGCCCGTTTTTTTCCCTAAAAATTTAATTCAAACATAAATCAATCCTTCCCAAACAATAATTTATGTCAACAACACACAACAACAAACCTTTACCACTCTCTTAAATAACCAAACTTTTCCAGCAGTTTTAACATTGATCGAGATTATTCCAAAGTCGTATTCCTTGAAATGAACTACTTCTTTCTTAACTAGTTCGAAATTGTGGTTTTAAAAAAATCTCAGTTCCTTTAAAATTATAGCAACGTTCTCTCTAAACAAATTTTGATTGGATGTTTAAAAGGTAAGATGTTTTTGTGAGATTTATACGCAAACTGCAAGATATTATAATCAGCCAAATAATTAAATTTCAATAAATTCAACTGGTAAAATAATATATTTGAGTGAATGTAATGTTTTCCAATAATGATTCTTACTGCACTTTTTTGTAAAAACAAATAAATAAATTGTATTTGTTTTATATGCTTTTCCTCAGACTATAGTTTAATTTAAAAAAAGAGTAAAAGATAACTAAAATGCATTTTTAAAATGGAAAGGGTTAAAACCCAAAGAGTGGTTTGTTAAAAATGCAAACCAAGTGGAGTGTTTGCTCTATGACTGCTGTCATAACTGATAAAAAGGTACTACAGATACTTATTAGACAGAACATCACTTAAGAAATAATTAGGCTACCCATTTAAAGCACAAATTGATATAACAATCATGTCAGTGAAACATAAAGACAACATCCGATAGACACAGAACACAACTCCATAGATATTAACAACGTTTTCCATCATAACAAAATCCAGTCTGCTAACAAACGGTGCTTGTAAGCTCTCACCAGCGAGGCTGTTTTTTTTTTTCCTATGGGTCTTAATGGTTAAATGGTTGCTGGTTCTTTGAGGTTTTAGTGGCTTTAGTGGGTTTTTAATGGTGTTAATGGTCTGAAATGTGATCCAAGTGAGACAGTCGATCGGGGGCTCAGACAATGAGCTCCAACCGAGCTCCACACAGTGAGAGTGCATGAGAGAGGCAGAGATACAGAGAAACTGTGAGTCAGTAAATGTACAGTAAGCATGTGTGTGTGTGTGTGTGTGTGTGTGTGTGTGTGTGTGTGNGTGTGTGCAATGATAGACAGAAAGTAGTCCAAACACATTGTGAAAGTTGTTTGTCAACCATTACGGGGCATTTTAAGAGTATCAAAGTGATTTAGCGTTCCCAGGATTTACCAGCTGCGATCGTTTTCTTCAAGCCTGCATATAAATTCATATAAAAGCTTTAAAAAAAAAAGCTGTCAGTAAAATACAGGCAGTTTAAAGATGTAGATGTATTTTTCTTTCTTTCTTTCCGTCTTTGACTCGCACTGAATTCACCCTTCTACACAAACAGAGATGCCTTCTTATGGCTACAATCATTGTTTGCATGCACTGGTAAAATGGTTAAGTGCTATCATAAAACCATAACTCAGGGATGAGAGCATCCAGTCCCAGAGGGTACCCACATGAACACTTTTGGAGTCCCTTAATGATCAAAACACATCAATAATGAATGAATATATTAATATAAGAGTAGAGTATCTTAGCAAGAAAGACAGACTAGGAAAATATCAGCAGAATTTTGTCAGCATTAAGCGAGTTTTGTGCGTGAAATCATTCCTTTTTCCAGAGAAGAGACTCCTGACAACCTCAAATAAAAAGAAATGAAGATAACCTCTACGGTCACAGCGTGTGTTGGACCAAGTTTAATAATTAAGTGGCAGTGCTGAATGAAGAACATCCTGCCTGGACCACGTTTTTCTTGACTAGCAATTTCAATCAAGGCGATTAGATACCCTGTGAAGCTCTGCTGTAAGTTCTTTTATAAAAAGGATGAGTCGTGCTGATTCCCTTTCTAAAGCCTTTCTTAAAGCGTGGAGGAAGTAGCTAAATAACTAGATCCAGCTGTCATTCTTTTAAAAGAACATGTTTTTAGATACAGTTGGAGAGAAAGGATTTAAGTTCTGTTTTGTGTCTTAAAAAAACTGCAACTTTCCCATTTTGAGGATTTGTGTTAACTTAAAGAAGTACAGTACTGTAGCTGGAAAATTGAATCTTTTTTATTTATTTATTTATTTATTTTATTTTATTGAGGTCATCATAATGAGGAAAACTAAAGAATAAACCAAAGAAACAAAAATGCAAAAACAGAGGTAGAGACAAAGATGACACTACAAAGATGTGCATGTCCTGCGTACCCAGATAGGATAACTTTGTCATATGGCTAAATTATGAACACGGTACAGTTGCTTTTTACAGACTGGTACTTAAGCTTATAATAGCATGCAAATTTATTCTGGCAGGCAGAGGGGGCAGGCTAGTTTACATGTTCAACGTCCATTTAATCCACACTCTGCAGCCTGTGTGCCGACCACAAGACGTGGCCCTGAAAACTTCCACAGGGGAATCAAACTGATAGAATTCCAATAATGTTCACTGCAGCACTGCATAAAAGCAGGTCGTCATTTACTTCCTCAAAAAAACACAGTGGCTGCAGTTACAACTCCCACATTACTGACCGTACAAACTATAACTGAGTTTAGACTAAAAGCACCCCCACCTAACCACAGAAGCCTGTACACCCAGTGTTGATGTTGTGCCTTTTAGATTAGAGGCAAACACACAGGCAGTAAAATACTCCAAGACTTTCATTTTAACTCAGAACAACAGGAACCACGTGTCGTTGTCAATCTGATGTTAGGACTTTTTCTGTTCACAGCTTGCACAACAACACATCTTCAGTGATCTTCACACAAAATAAAAATGACCACCACAGCTTCATCACACAGTCAGCTGAGGTTAAAACATCAGGACAGGAGACTAAAATACCCTGAATGATGGTGATTCAAAAATTAACTTTTATCATATCAGATGAAAATACAATAATTACATATTGGAACAAATCGTGACCATGTTTTAGATGCAATATGGAGGGGAAAAAGTATTTAAGTGTTCTGAGTGAGCACATCTTTCCTGACTAAAATATGCAAATTGAGACTTTAAAGCTTTCTGATTTACTTTTAGTATGCAGAAATAAAGAAAAACAAAACAATTTTTATTTTACAGATTTTTCATTAACTTTGTTCAATGAAACAACAAATTACATCTCTTAAACTATACTCCCTAATTAAGTTCTGTGCTGGTTTTAAATATGCAATTTAAAAAATAGGGTTTTGTTCATTGGATGAACTCAAAGCTTCGTTCAGTATTGAACTGGAGAACCTGTGAGCTGTGGGACATTCTGTGAATCCTGCTTCCTGTGTTTCTGAGCTGCTTTTTTACACAGAATAAATCAGAAAACTTGCTGCTTATTTGGAGGAACACCAGGTAAGAAGGTTGGCTCTGATTGGCTCATTTGCATTTAACCTTTTTACAGACCATCAGAGAATGCAGTTTAGGGAAACATTGGTAATATTTTTGTTAACATTGCAATATATCTGCATAAATATCTGTAGAACTCATTTCTGAACTGGAATGTTGTTCAGTTGTTAAGAGAATCTCTAAGCTCCTACATAAATTGTGTGTCCTGGTATAAACAAGTGTTTGACTTTAAAAGACCCTTACACAGACCTGACTGTTTTTGTATGGGTCCCAATGATATCGCTCTCCAAATCCAGCAGATGTTGATGATTATGAAGCCCCGTCAACCTCTTCAGCCTCAGCAGGGCCACACAGAACTGCGCTCCCATCTCCTCCAGCTCCCTGGTGCCAATTTGAAGCCCCTGGAAAGAGCACGCACATCAAAAAGAATCAACACACATTTATGTGTACGCCAAAAATAACTCGCACACAAAATGCAGTCCATGAAGTTTTACATGCTTTTAATTTCAGAGAGATGTTTTGAAAACACTGGTTCAATTTGAAATCTAACAACTGTGGGATTTTACAGCTTGGCCTCACCCAGATGATGGAGTCACTGTCCGTTTACAAAAAGTTCAATTCCCAATGCAGCAAAGCATTAAAGAAAATCTTTTATGCGGAAACATTAGTTCTCAGAAAACACATGCACAAACACAAATGCACACAGCTTCAAACCCAGGAAAATCTGTCCAACATTGTTCAGTAATACAAGCACAATGACCTGCAACCCCATTCTAACCTGGCCTTGAACTCAACCCGTCCCCAGAATAATAGTTTTTATTCCCCAAAGCAGAACTAAAAACATCTAAACTTGGCCTGTCCAAATCAAATACATATATATGCATCTAGAATTCAGTAGACAATAGCGCCTACACATCTTGCCAAATATTTTCACACAGAATGACGAGGACCTCCTGAACTGTAAATATATTATTATATTGACTTTGGCTAAATTCACTGGGAAAAAGATCAGCTGGGATGGAAAACATGAAGGAAGGGGGAAAAGGAGATGATGAAGCCAAAAAGGAAGCAGAAAAATGGACAAGGACAAATGAGAGAGGAGAAAAACAAACATAAATGCAACTAGAGTGCCACCTGGTGGACATGATGTAAACAGGGGTAACTTTTACAGTTTATGTTAAATTTTAATTAATTATTGTTGTTTTACTAAAGAAAACAACAAGAAAATGAGCTTGATTTGTTTTTATATTTTTCACACTATGATTTTTTTTATATTATATGACATTTATTGACTTATTTACAGTTGAATCTGGTCAAAAGACATACTAATTTTTAGACTATAGTGGTAAATTTTTCATATCAAACAAACAAATTCTATACACAAACCTTATATTTGCCCTGGTCACAGCCACACAGTGTGCTTTCCATTGTGTAACTGCGCTGCACTCCTATCTCCCTCCATACAACCACACGGGCTGTCGACTCTTTGGAGCGCTCGACAACAAAACTGGAGCTCCCCATGCTGAAGGCTGGGGCGATCTGGGATAAGATCTTAGGAAGCGTCTGAAAAATATAAACATTTGTAAATGATTTTATGTAGAAGAGTTTTTCTGGGTTAGAGTTTTATTCCCTGCAAACAGAGTTCAAAAATAACACAACTGAAATCATTTTGTTGCTCATTGGCTTAAATGTTTAAAGCTACATGTTAATTATTTCTGCTAATTAAATTTATTCATTGATGGGGTTGTTCTGGTTTTCTTTAGAAAAACAAAACTTGGACTTCTTGAAGAAAGAATGAAAATGCAACAGTACAAAACCTGTGGATTTAGTAATGCTATAAAGCTACAGAGTTTAAATCATCTTTTTTTTCAATAAATGTTTGCTGACACATCTGCAATATGATAAATCTCAAATTTTAATCATTTATATTTTCTCTCAGAGCAGACTGGTAGAAATTCTTCGATGATAACTAAGGGTAGCCTGATAGTAGAAGGTATKATTCTGTGCCTATTTATTACTTTCATTGCATTACAAGCACAGTTTGTGCACTGTGTGTGTATGTTTACCCTGTATCCAAGATCCTCCTGTAAGTCACTCGAGCTTGCACTAATGTTGGACTGCCACACTGTCTCCTTCAAGCTGCAGCCGTACATGAACACATTCTTCTTCCTGGAATGGCCATGGTAGTCGCAGAACACCTGCACACAAACAGAACAGAAGCAGAGGAAATTGTGATGCATATTTTGTCGATTTTATCCACAAATTCTGTGATGTTTCATTAGCAATGCAAAAACTATGTTAATAAATGCTAAAGGGAAACTATTTACAAGGGAATGCATGATCAAARCAAAACAAATTGTTATAGTTTTGGCAGTAAAAGCCAATAAATTGTGCCTGTCATATTTTATATTGTAAACAAATCTCCATTTAAAGACATCCCACTTTATCCAACCTGCTGACACAAAGTGTAGAACAGAGGCCAGCAGAGGGTGTTGTTTGTGGTGAATGCATTCATGTCATAAAACTCACATTGATTTTTAGAAACAGTGGGCATGCAGCCAAATAGGATGTGCAGCTGATCAAGAGGAACTGACACCAGAATTAAGAGGTTAATGAAAAACGATGCTGCGAAGTGGGGAAAATAAAATAAAATAAAAAAGAGACAAAAACACGCCCCCAAATTAATTCAAGCGCAGTTAATTAGAAGTCATACCAGTGGGGACCTTTGCGTGTATGCAAGGTACTGCAGCAGGCTCTTAGTATGGTAGATGGTGGGGTGGAGCTCAGGATTGGGGTTCTGCCACTGGCGGTTCAAATCCTCTCCACTCAGAGAACAACGATGACTACAGCAGAAAGGAGATGGAAGAGGGGGAGGACACAGAGCGGAGGATAAACTGTGTGACAGCTGGAGAATCCTTCCAGACAAGATTTCAAGTGTGTAAATATACATAAAGCTGTGACTGCTGTGCAGGCGCAGGTACTGGAGATGAATGAATACTTGAAGGTTGTGAGTGTGTATAATCTCATTCTGGCCCTTTGAACTTACTTTCCGTTGACAACTCCATCAGGGTTGAGCATGGGAACTATCTTGAAGATGTAGGCCTCCCTGAGGCTTGCTGCCAGTGGGCTGGAGCCCATCAGGAACTCCAGCGTGCCCTTCATTACCCAGCTGGCGTTGGTCTCCCCAGGGTGCACTCGGGCTGACAAGAAGATCAACGGGCGATTTCCTGAAGGGGAAAAAACAGAAAAGTCAAATAATAAACATATGTTAAAAAATGCATTAAAAATTCCTCTTTTTTAAAATATTCTATAGTAAATACATCCACAGGTCAGCAGGCAGTTACTTACTGAACTGACAGATGTGATCAGAGGACTTGGACTCGGGCATGGCAGTGATGGTGAGAAGAGGACAACTGTTTCCTCCGAGGGTTTCACACAACACGTCCTGTCTCAGGTAGATCTGAGGTGTCCTCAAATCCTCCAGCTTAGTGAGATGCATCTGAATGTAAAAATAAATGACTTCAGTGCTTTATGTAAGGCGGAATTTTCAAGCACTAAATTTAAAGTCTTTATATGGAGCCTATGATGAGATTTGAGGTTTATGAAGTTAAACAGTTTAGAGGTCAGACTATCAGAAAATGAAGTGCAAAAGCACAAAAGACAATGGCATAGTAATATTACCTTCAGAGTGGAGTATGTGTAAGGGTAATGGTAGGCAAAGTAGCAGACATCGTCCTTATGGCTAAAATTTATGCTGAAGGTCGTTGTATAATAGGATTTTCCTTTCTGTCCACCAGCTGCAATGGAACTCCTTGCAAAGTGATTCCTGTGAAGAGAGAGGATCATTTAAAATTTTACACAAAAAAAAAAAAACACACACAAACACTGAAAGGTTAATTTATTCAGTGTACTTGCATATTTCTCTAATTCTACCAAATCCAAATTTTTATAATTTGGTGATAATTGTGCCAAATAAGTATTAAAACAAATACATGCATAAAGTCAAAATAAATTGTGTACCACCATTCCTACTTTTTAAATTTGTTTATATTTAGAAGGCATGTCTGAGAGACTGTAGCAGAGAGCCACTTTTAAAAGATCATTTAAAACAATAGAGCACTTAGTCCATTAATACAAACTCATAACAATTTTTGTCAATGCAGCAAGCTATAAAATATATTAAAGAGTAAAGTTTGTGCTCTACCTCTTATATATAAAGTATAATACCATAGAAGACCCTATTAATGCATTAAATTGATCTTATCCCATGAAGTTATGACACTAATTGTAAAGTTTTTATTTATTTATTTATTTATATACAGCAGGTAAAATAAGTATTGAACACGTCACCATTTTTCTCAGTAAATATAT